ACATATATATATATTAGGACGCCACGTGGCTCACAATGGCATTTGTGTGTTGCCACGCCGCGTCGGCCGCCCACGGACACGTCATGCGCGGCATCTCATGGAAGAGTATTTAAGTCATCTGCGTCGCCTCGAATTGGGGCCAACGTGGTTCCCTTTTGCACCGTCTCCGATCATGACGATCGTAGGTAGGTAAGCTTGAGCTCAGGTATCTCTTGTTGATTCTTAGGCATTTTGCTGGCGGTGGCTGTTTCCTGATTCGGCGAACCATTTCAGTTGCCTCTTAGAAGCACCGAACGCCTCCTCTCCATAGATACGGCGCCTTTCTCTTGCGTTAAGTTTCTTGTCCTCTTCTTTTCTCTCCCTTCCCGGCGGCGGTTCGTTAGGGTTTGTTGCGACACCAAGAAGCTGCGTTCGTAGGATGATCACCCGATCATAGGCTCGTCTTTCCGCTCCAGCATCCTCGTCAGGCAAATCTCTGCATTTACTTTGATCTTTTCTTTACATCTAATCCAAAAATCTGTTCGTTTTCTTACCAGTGATTGGATTTGTAATAGTTCATCCTATGGTGTAATGATTCCATCTCAATACGTGGTTTAGAAAGAGATTTCTATTTGCAACTCTTTTTTATTATTTACAATTCTATTTTAACAATTTTTAATATCTTTACTTTGTTTTTTCCCTCCATTCTCCTCTTCTTCGGTTCTTCTCCTCCTCCTGCTGATCGCGAATGGCGAGCGGTGAGAAGGTGGTTTTTCATTGATAGAAGGGTCGGGTAAATTCATAAAAGATCAAAAAATACAAACAGATATTTGAGGGCTGAGATTATTATGTGTCAGCTTGATTGTCATTAGATTTCGAAGCAACAAGATTTAGTAAGTGAACTAAATTTGATGGATTTGAAGACGGGTGGTTCAACCCCTGTTCTTACCGATCCTGGACCATTAAACAATTCAAGATTGAGCTTGTCTTCAAACATAAAACCATATTCCATAGCAGCACAAGCACATTCTTCCAGTTTGTACTCAACATTCCCCGGAAGGAAAGGAATACTTCGTAAGTTTGATGATGCTCATTTTAATGGTTGGTTGGATGCCATGAGATATCATCGCCTTCTAGCAAACAGCTGAATAAGGATGTCATATCTGAGCCTTCAATTGATGAACCTGATGTGGCATATCATACTTGGATGGTTAGTTTTGTGTTTATAAATTGATAAAATTGCAACCTCTGTTTAAAATATGTAAATATTTTTAAAATACATATCTGGTGTTCACTCTATTTCTAGATGAGCTTGCCATTGGCGTTAACATCATTTGAACATATTATATGTTCTGGTGAATGCAAGTGGATAGCTTTGTTTCTGGATTATGACGGAACTCTTCCTCCCATTGTGGACAACCCTGATTTTGCCATTATGTCCAATGAGGTAACTTTGTTTTGTTGCTTTTCTTTGATGCAAACATCTAGTTGCATTAATCATTAGCTTTTTGTAACCTGCATATTATTTTTCAGGCACAATTATGATTATGATTGTTTTACCTTGTCTCATATGCTTGTTGCTGTAAAAAATGCCTCTAAATACTTCCCGACTGCAATCATAAGCAGAAGGTCCCGTGAGAAGGTACATTCATTCATAATTCTTTCTTGCTGTTGTGCCGAATCTTTAAGAGAAATACTGAACATTATTTGTATATAAAAACTGTCTGTTTGTACACTCTTGCTTGTGACATGCTAATTATAATCCTGTGTGCACGATATATCTGTCATATTTTTCAGTTGTACAAATTTGTGAAGCTAACAGGACTATATTATGCTGGTAGTCATGCTATGGATATCATCGGCCCAGTCAAAAAGGACAATATCGAAGATGGCCATCCAAACCACACTATTACAACTGATAAATTGGTGAGAGACATCCCTTTTCTCCACATTCAGATTTTGAAGCCATTTGTTGTCAATTTTTTTTGTACTTTATACTTGTTATTCAATTATCAAACTTCATTTTGCCACTTCGCAACATAATCCAGTAACCTGAAAAAATAAAAAGGGTGAGTGATTCATGGATGGCTTCACAGCAATGACATGATGATACCTTTTGTCATGTATAATTAAGCCAAAAAGAAAAATGCATATCACTTTGCCAATAGATTAGTATAAACTCATAAGGTTTAAACTTAAGAAATGAGATGACAGATTTCCTTTCCAAAAGTTATATAGCATATAGAAACATGACCAAACCTAGCAATCCAATTGGCTGTTCTATTCACTCCTCTCCCATGATATTATGAAAGTTGATGTTATCATTTTTTTTTTTTTCATTTTGTCAACTTAAATGGACTATGACGATGATGCTAATGATATGTAGTATAGGGGATTAGCTCTTGGTTGTTTTTTTTTCTCATTTGTTCTTACTTTTGGTCTTCAAAATAATAAGAATTTATGTAAGGGCAGAAGGACACAAGTGGCAACCGACAGTGAGAAGAGATGAGGCACGGCTGGTTCATTATCTGAAATAGTTCGGTAAATTTTGAAAATACTATTTAGTTGGATTAAGAGTGCAAAACTGAAATTTGTAAAATAAGGGGTGCCCCTAGATAAAATTTGAAACGAGAAGAGGCTCCTAGATAAAAAAAAATGATTATGGAAGGCTTTTCTTAGTAAATGGCCCTTTTTTATTCCACTTGTTGCTTGCCTCTTCTGCAGCTGCCTATTATTTTAACATCATTCAAGCTAATGTCTCATTCACTGATATATAAATGCTTATGATTGTGAAAATGAGAAGGTACTGCAAACTTGGTGCTCTTCACCTATCTGTCAATTTTCAGGAGGCATCTCCTTGATGAACTGCAAACATGAGTGTGGTGACAAAAAATGTTGGAAAGGCAGTTTTTCATTGATAATAAATACATATATAATCATGTATCAGGTGGTTCACTGCTAGATTGCGTAGCTCTGGTGAACTGAATTTGGTGAGTGAATAGGATCCATTGCATTTGAAGATGTGTGGTTCATCCCCTATTCCTAGTGAATCTGCACCATTAAACAACTCAAGGTTAGAGTTGTCTTCAAATATAATATCATATTCAGTAGCAGCACATGTGCCTTCTTCCAGTTTGTACTCATCAGCATTATCCAAAAGCAAAGGAGTACTTGGTAAGTTTGATGATGCTTATGTAAGTGGTTGGCTCGATGCAATGAAATCATCGTCACCTCCTTGCAAACAGCTGAACATGGACGTCATTTCTGAGCCTTCAATTGATGAAACTAATGAGGCATATTGTACTTGGATGGTGAGTTTTGTGTTGATAAACTGGTAAAATTGAAACCTTAGGTAAAAAAAATGTGGACATTCTTAAAATTTCATTCTGGTGTTCGCTCCACTCTCAGATGAGGCATCCGTCGGCGTTAACATCATTTGAACAGATTTTAAGTTCTATCAGATGCAAGAAGATAGCTTTATTTCTGGATTATGATGGAACTCTTTCTCCCATTGTGGACAACCCTGATTTTGCCATTATGTCCAACGAGGTAAATTCGTTTTTTGTTTTACTTTGATGCAAACATCTAGTCATATTAACCATATTGTTTTTCCGTTACTCTTGATGTACCTTATCTCAGATGCGTGCTGTTGTCAAAAGTGCTTCTAAATACTTCCCCACTGCCATCATAAGCGGAAGGTCTTGTGAGAAGGTAAAGTTGTTCATTTGCTGAACACAAATTATTTTGAGATAAATACTGAAGATAAATCATATGTATATAATAATGGTACATGTTTTTTGCTCTCATGCTTATGACATCACACTCCTCTTTATGCACAATATATATCTGTATATTCTCCAGGTGTACAAATTTGTGAAGCTAACAGAACTCTATTATGCTGGTAGTCATGGTATGGATATCATGGGCCCAACAAGAAAAAATAATTTCGGTGATGGCCATGCCAACTACACTGTTAAAAACGATGAGCTGGTGAGAGGATATCCCTTTGTTCCACTTTTGGATTTTGAAGCTTTTTGTTGTCAATTATTTTTAACTTCTTTTTCCACTTGGTAGCATAATCTAGTAACCTGAAAACGCTAGGTGGCTGATCCATGGATGGCTTCACCATGATGAATATTACTTTGTAATATAGGTCCATAAGATCCAAGGTTCGCCGTACCGTACCGTACCGGCGTTTCGACCCGCGCTCGGTACGGTACGGTACGGGTGTACCGACCGGTATACCGAGGTGTACCGAGCGGTACACCCGGGTGTGCCGAGCACTGTAGCAGTGCTACAGTGCTACAGTACTGCTACAGTACCGGAACGGTAAGAGGCGGTCCGCGTACCGAAAGTCTATCGGACCGGTACGTACCGCCCGTACCGGGCGGTACTGTTCGGTACGGCAAACCATATTAAGATCAAACTTCAGGAGTTGATTTATAGGAAAATTTTCTTTCCAAAAGCTATATAAGATATAGTAACATGAGCAAACTTAGCAATCCAGTCGAATATTATATTCCCTCCTCTCCTACAACATTATCAAAGTTGATGCTATCATTTATGTTTTTTCTTTCATTTTGTCAATCAAAATGGATGATGATGATAATGATATATCATGCATGGGATCAATTACCATTTTTGTGTTTCTTTCTTGATCATCTAAACTATTTCAAAATTACCAGCTTATATTATGTTACACCATTGCTTACTGAGAAAACCTTTGCATATTAGGGTAATGGGGTGCATCTCTTCCAGGCTCCGAGTGAGTTTCTACCTATTATCAATGAGGTACTTGTTAAAGATTTTATTTGTTACATCATCGGCCCCTATATATCACATGATGATTTAAGCTGATCAAAACAGGTTTGTAGCTCCCTGGTTGACATAACCGAGGATATCTTAGGTGCCAAAGTAGAATATAATAAATACTGTGTCTCTGTACATTACCGTCTCGTGGATGAGAAGGTAAGCACTAAAATCGCTCCATGGTTATGTTGTGCTAGGAAACAATACCTCTTGTCAGCTGCCTGACAAAATGGAAACTTTTGTCGTCTTGGTTCTTAAATTGCAGCTTTGGCCCGAGGTTGCTCGGCGTGTGCTCAGCTTGGTCGACGGCTACCCTCGTCTCCGAGTGACCCATGGGCGGAAGGTGATCGCAGAGCTATGTTTAAGCTAATAGATGTTAGATCTTCCAGATTTTTTGGGGGGGTTAATTTTCTTTGCAACACAGGTTTTAGAGATCCGTCCTGTGATTGATTGGAACAAGGGGAAAGCTGTTGAGTTTCTACTCAAATCCCTCGGTCTCAGCAACCGTGATGATGTGCTTGCAATTCACATGGGAGATGACAAAACTGATGAGGACGCATTTAAGGTAACAGACAACATTGCATTACATGTAAAACTCGACAATGAATCATAGGAACTTCTGATGTCTTTAAGCTCCGATTACATGTACTCGAATCATGATTGATTCCAGGTGTTGAGGGACAGTAACCTTGGGTTTGGCATCCTTGTATCATCTGTGCCTAAAGAAACCAATGCATTCTACTCTCTCAGAGACCCCTCCGAGGTGATTTCTACAACTCCGAATTCTTTTGAATTGGCTGTGAGTGAGCTCACTACTTTGCTGCAGTTTGTAATCACGTTTAGCTTGCTATGAATTCTCTTGCAGGTAATGGAATTTCTGAAGTCTCTGGTCAAATGGAAGGAGGATAGTGCAACTGCAGCTCCATAGATCATATATATATATATATATATATATATATATATATAAAATTCAAAACAAAAAAAAAGTTATTTTTGGCTAAAATATTGATTGTTCTAAATACACCAAGCTAGTATACATCAACTAGGATTAAAAATTAATAAAAGCAATTAATCTTGATTCTTCTTAGATCAAGTCTAATTGCTTTATGTTTACTTGAGATTTGATTCCATGGCGCCGTACCGTCTGGTACGGCCCACCTGACCCCGACATCGTTGTCGGCTATCTTTCGATGCCGCCGGCTTTAGATTCCGGCTGGATACGACGTGTCAGCCGACAACCTTCGGTGGTGCGCAATGACTCATCGCTCCGTTTTCATATATCGTATAGATAATACATCAACTCATCGTCACTTCCATTAACTTTTTATTTTGTTGGGTGCAAGTGTGCATCTTTTATCTTTACTTGCTTTTTGACCGACAACAGCTTTTGTTGTGGCTGAGAGGAAGAGAGTGGCCACACGCAAAAGCATAATCGTGGCTTCCATTCATTTGTATCCATTCAGTCAAAGTGGGTTTGTATGATTGAGGTTTTAGATGAGATCGAGGCGATACAACTCATCATGTCGATTGGAATATAACATATAATAATCTCATTATTATGTCATGAGAATGACTTTCTCTTTGATAATTATTGTATTTTTCTTCTTTATATTTTCATTTCATATCTCCCAGAGAGCTTTGACTTAGATTTTTAAATGAACTTCAAATTTTTGGAGAAAACTCATTCAAGCCCATTCATTCATGGAGCTCTTATGTTATGTTGAGATTGAGATTTATTATAAGGTGTATCAAATTATTTTTTATCATTAATACGTTACATATGAACATTCACTAAGTCAAATCAAATAATAATGATCGCTATTATCCCTACTTTTTTTTTTATCTTACGGATGAATAGACTAATTCCAAAATAAAACGATATAGGAACAACACTCATCTAAAAATCACATTAAATGAGTTATTTTCATTAAAAATAAATAAATAAATAAATAAATAATCCAAAATATTAGTCGCCATCAACAGCGCCCGACCAAATCCAAGAAGGCCGTACCACAAACGACAAACCCAAATCCATCTACTGTTGACTCGTCCCCTTCCCCTAATCCGCCTCTTTTATATGTCGCTTCCTCTCCCCTCCTCTCACACGCGCACAGAGAAGGAATGGATGTCTGAACCGAGTCTTTTCTCGTCGTCATTGGGACATCAATCGACTCCTTTGGCCGTCACGATGAAGCGATACAGAGGAGGGTTCAGGTTGGGCCGCCGTCTCGTGAGAATCTGGCGGCGGGTCTTCCGCCTCGAAGGTGGCTACCACCGCCGCCCCGGCCCCGCCCCTTCCTCGGCCATCTCCAATGCTCGCCGCCGGATCGAGAGCTCCGCGGTGGCCACGAGGCTCTTCGATTGGGGCCGGAGCCTCTCCCGCCGCCTCCGCCGCCGCGGCGAAGACCGGGCGCCGCTCCTGGAGGAGGATGCGTGGGGGGCGCCTCCCAAGGGGCACCTCGCGGTGTACGTCGGCGGGGGGCAGCCGCGGCGGTACGTGGTGCCGGTCATCTACTTCAACCACCCTTTGTTCGGGGAGCTGCTGCGGGAGGCGGAGGAGGAGTTCGGGTTCCAGCACCCCGGCGGCATCACCATCCCCTGCCCTGCCGCCAAGTTCGAGCTCATCCGGACCCGTATCGCTGCCGCCGGCTGCCATCTCCGCCGGAAGAGCAGCAGCAGCAAATTCTTACCACTCTAAAGCAGCCTTTTACTCTCTCTCCTCTTCATTTATGGTGTTGTTATTGTCACATTAATCTCATGTATAATATCAAAATTATTATATTTATCCCTCCAAAAATTTAAACTATGATAACACACATATATATAATCTAAAATAAAATTAATTATAAATATTTTATAATTAACTATCTTTAATATTTCGATCGGTACACTTTCTACAATTATATTGATATCAATTCATTTACGAAAATAAAATATTTAATCTCATTATTTTAATATTTTTTTAATTTTTAATTTTATAAAATTATCGTTTTAATATATCTCGATGTTTCATTTTCATAAAAATAAAAATCTCAATATGATTTTTAAAATATAAAAATTAAAGTATTAAATATAATTAATTATAAAATCTAACTATAATGATCTTATATCTGAAATATAGTTAATTAAATATAGCTAATTACAAAATTAAGATATTAAATATAGTTATTATATTTTGAAAATATAATAAATATATAATTAATAAAAATAATTATATAAAATATTTGTTTAATAAATATAAAACCAAATGATAATAGAAAATTAAAGATATAATTATCTGATCTCTCTTGATGAATTTTAAATGAATCTAATCTTTAGTTAAGTTAAGTGTCGACAAAGATTTTGATAATATATAATAATCTTTGGTTGGAATTTTTAAATTTCGCTTTCGTCATTTATTTTTTTATACAAAATTATAATATTTGATAAAACACGAAACTGATAGGCTTTATAAATCAATTAAATTGCTCCTTATGGGATGACATGAGATAAGATGTAACGAAGAAAGGATGATTAAAGCTATAAAAAAATATATGTAATTAGAAAAACAAAAGTGACACGCCATCTTCCATCTATTTGTGTTGAAGAAAAGTTCGTAGAACACTTTGACGCTTTCCCACTACGAACATATTTCCAACACCGCAACTCTTCTTCTTCTTCTTCTCTCCGTTCAACGCGTGGATGCCACCGTCTTCCCTGCCATTTGGTCCCCCTGCTTGATGTGTGCTTTAAGGTGGTGATGGTTGGCAAAAAGACGTGTGCTTGATTGAGAAGCACAGTTGAGTTTGGGTTCTCCTACATGCATGAGAGAGAGAGAGTTTGTGTTCTACTACATGCATGAGAGAAAGAGAAAGAGAAAGAGAAAGAGACTAATTGTAGTGGTTGAATACGAGAAGCAACAGATCAATTGACATTTGCCGTAACTTCGAATAATCAAAAGAATGCTCCTCTTTGAAAATTAAATAACAGTAAAAGAAAAAAAAAAGATTAACTTTACTTATTATTGCTGTTATTGTTGTTGTTACTAATCAATATTATAATTAGACAAATGGTTTAATAATTTATAACTCATAAGCTCTTAAAAGATATATGAATTCTGAAAATAATGAATGATCTATGTAGTGACATCCAAATCTCTCTCTCTATCTCTCTCTCTCTCTCTCTATATATATATACATAGAGAGAGAGAGAGAGAGATTTGGACTACATCTTAATGTAAAAGTATTCATTAGATATTTAAAATAATTTTGATATTTAAAGGTCTTTAGTGAGACATTCGAGTTCATTAATGTATTATTATTACACAAGTGATAAGTCTCATGTTTGAATAATATAAATTTATATAATAATTTAAAAATATGTATATATTTGAGGGTTATGTTTCGTAGATTTTTTTTTATTTGAACACTAATTGCATAAATAGTGTTGTGGAGATGGCATCGCCTTGCCCTTATCTCCTAATGGATTGCCATGATGTTTCATCCTAGAGAATTGTCTTGGTTATGTCACGTTGAATGAGTGGCCACTTTCACCCATCCATGATTACATACATTAGCTAGATTATGCAACCTTCTCTCTTTACGTCTCCATCGAGTGTTCTCTGTTTACCATTTGCTTAGCTCTACTAAGTCCGAGGAAGACAACAATTATCTTCATGAAAGAAAAGGAAGCTTTCTATATTTTACATAAGTATATAAAATAGGTCGTGCATAAAATCGAATAATAAATAAATATAATAAATGTGACATCCATTTTGAGTTTTTAGTTTGTATTTTTTTATTTCCGACAAAACCGATCAAGACGTGATAAGATCGTAAACGAAGGGCTACATCTCTAATTAACGCATATGGTCTGATTCAACCTGACCCGATCTAGTGTTGGGCTTGGCCACGGGCTTCCGAACCTTTTTTTTTAAATCAAGAGAAAGTCAATTATTTTTGAATAACGAGGTTATTGAAATTTTTTTCGGATGATCGTTGTGCTCCTATAACAACTTTATTGGTTAGATTTTGATTCCTCATACAACTATTTGACTTTGTGTTTTTGTTTGGTTTTAATGTGTTTTCGCTTGTTTTGGTAGGTCAAGATGGTTCGTAATGTTGCAAACAATCACCCATTGAATATAGTCGAAATGAGTCAAAATGATCTTATTTTCATGTGTCATGAGTTGATTTCTCCGAACCAATTTGACTAATTATTGCTCGGTGTCAATATTTTCTTAAACGTCTCTATTTATTTCACGATGAACGTAGAAACAACTCGATCATATAGGTGAGTGATAAACCATAAAATCATTTCGATAAGTGAACTCATGCTGTTGAACTCATTTGGCAACGATCGAGCAAGAATCCAACAGCTCATTTCTCCTTATCAAGTTGATCGGAGAACAATACGCTAATTCTTTTCTCTACCCATTCCAAATGATTTTTTGATACATGAATTGTATACTAACCATAAGAAGCATCGAGAAATATACATTGAAAGGATGTCTTGGATTATGGTCACTAGTCATATTATCAATGACTAAGCTCCTCTCGAACACTTTTGTTAGCTTCGATATGTATCGTTCCAATGAATCGTTTGACCCAATCTCCAACGCAACACATGTGATGGGAAGACTCCTAAGCTCATCTTCAAGTCACAAAAAAAAATTACTTCCTAGATGGGTGTGCTGCATTAATACCAAATACCAAATACGTATTGTATGTATCATACATAACATCTTAAAAAAGACTTTACGAAATATCATTCCCGAATAATGTTTCATAGTCATGAATCTTTAATTTTCTTATACCATAGAAATTATTTTTGAATTTGTTATTCGACAAACACTTTACTTCATTCCTTATAGTTTTGATCATAGTTTATCTTATCGATCTATATTGATATATCGATCGACTGTTAATACGATATATATCGAGTTCTATTGACACATGATACATGAGGATAGACGTATTAATGTATCGCTCATACTAATTTTTTATCGGATCGATATATATTATTCGTACCGAACGATACGTCGAGGTATATGATTATCTCCTCGGTTCAATGTCACTAGTTTATAAGGTTCTATCGCTTTTACTTTTTCCTTGAAAAAAAAGAAAGAAAAGCAGTTATAGTCTTTCCAAACATAACTTTTGCACTCTAAAAATAATAATGACTTCCAAAGTAATATAAATTTATATTGTGTATAGATATCAGCTTAGTTTTACGATGAATATAATTCTCTCGAGGATAGAGTTAACATAAGAGTATAACAATATTCAAACTTATATCTTTTAGCTTACATGCTCAACAAAACATCTAAATTATATCAAATAAAAGTAATATTACTCTGTTTCTTTAACAATTGTAATAGTGTTTTTTTCTAACATTCTCTCCATATGGTTGTCCTATTGGAGTTCTTCCTTTCTTCCAATTTTTAATTAGTTGCTCCATCAATATGCTAATTAGCTTAGAAATCATTGGAGAGGAGAGAACCTTTGACTTTTTCTTTTGATCTTCAAGCACAATGTATACACTCATTATCTTATTTAATAGAATATCACTTAAACAAACAAATAATCAAATATAATATTTCTTAATAATAATGTTTTGAGAATTAATCCAATTATAATTTATACATTTGAGGTATTTTTCAATCTCTTTAATTTGTTTTCAGACAGTATCACTAATTAAAAAAAATATATGCAAACTACTTCTCAATTTTTTTCTCCGATCGTCACAATAAAAATATTATAAAGTCTACTTGAAAATATCATAAATGATCAAATAAAATTAAAGCACATTAGAAATCATTTGATATATCATGCTATGATTCAAATCGGTATTTATAATAGTTTAGGAACATGCCACCTAAATAGAAATAAAAAAATGGATTGTACTAATGTTTTTTTTTGGACTACAATAAAAGTATAGTAAAGCCTACTAAAAAAGGCTATAATAATTCAAATAAACTACTAATCTCAATTAAACTAACATTTAATTAAGATTTACAAGTAATAACAACCAAAGAGACATAATAAAATAATTTTCAATAATATTTTTAATACCTTAATAATGAAAAAAATCACAATAAGTTAAAATTTATAAAAAAAATAGATAAAAAAATTCGATGAATTTTTTTTAAAGAGTATTATTTTGAGTATTTTTAAATTAGGAATACTACTAGTTGAAGAAAATAAAAATAAAAGGTATGGATTGAAAAATAACCAAAATATGAAAAAATGATGTGGAAATGGCCCTTAAATTAACGTTAGATACAATGAATGGTGTAATTATGATCGTAAGATAATTCGCGTCTAACTTTCTAATAACGCCGCGCGGTGGCTCGTGTCCGACTCCCGATGGCGCATGTTCCTGTCACGTGTCGAAGCCCCCAACCCTCGTCACGGTAGTAAAGAAAGTGGTCGACAAAAATAACACCGAACAAGAAAAAATACTTCCCCTATCGATTACACCCAATCTCACCTCACGCCTCGCTCCTTCCGACCCCCGCCTTCTCCCGTAAAACCCCGCCCCCTCCCCCCCTCCTCTCTCCCGTTCAACGAAGCTAGGGTTCGCCCCGATTCTGGTCCCGATCCATGGAGCCCCGGGATGGGGATCTCCAGGACGCCTACTTCCCCCATCCTTTCGACGACGCCGTCGTCCAGCGGACGCCACCTCCGCCGGTGTCGCCGGATGACGAGGAGGCCGACCAGGGAGACGCACAGGTGGCCGGTGCCTACGAGATGGACGACTCCCAGCTCGTCAGCTCACCCTTCGCCCTTTCGC